TCGGTACGTTGATAGTTGGTGAATTCAAAATCGATTATAATTATTGTATTTCTCGTTTTTTCCCTGCAAATTTACATCATTTAATTACAACATTAGTATTACTTCGATATATTTAATTTAGTATATTAAATCATCTGATTTTTCAGTCCGGCTACGACGCTCAATGTGCACGCACGTAGTTGCTTATGAGCTCCGTTATCGTGTTTGCCGTCCGATAATATGGTAGACAAAGTCCACGACACCGGTGGCGGTCCACTCCAAACGTCTATGCCTAACAAACGCAATCTTTCTAATTCGTCAATTTCTCCAAAAGTTGCCGATAAAAAATCAAAAATATTCGTTACACCAAATCGGTTTGCTGCCCTGTACTCCGAGGATTCTAGTGACACCGTATTCATCACATCCACCAACAGTGCATCAGCTCGTAACGAAAAACCGGGTCCTGCAAATCAAAGTATCGAGCAGCCGACGCTCGATGTACAAGACGTCACGCCACGGGCTCCACCGTTTTACATCTCCAACATCTCAAATTTCTCCGCCTTCACAAATGAGCTAACAAAGTTAACCGGTCCTAACGCATTTACCTGTAAGTCCACTAAATCACACCTAATCGTTTACCCCAGGGGTGTACTTAACTACAATACTATTATGATTTATGACTCATCTCAAGGAAACTGATTTCTAGTTTCCATACCTTTCAAGCTCACGTTAATCGCTCATTCAGAGTCGCAATACGAAATCTCCACCATTCCACATTGTGCTCGGAAATTTCCGTGGCTTTGTCGGAGGAAGGACATTCGGTGAAACAAGTCATTAATGTCAAAAATAAAAATAAATGCGGTCTCCCATTATTTTTTGTTGATTTAAATCGTCAGAATAACAACAATGATATCTTTAATATCACTTCGCTACTTAATACCAAAGTTATAATCGAGAAACCTCATTTGTCCCATCGTGGTCCACCACAGTGCCACAATTGTCAAGCCTATGGCCATACCGATAACTACTGTCACCATGAATCTAGATGCGTCAAATGCGGTGGAGACCATCGCTCCGAGGACTGTACTAAGGATCGCGATAGTCCAGCCAAATGCGCGCTCTGTTCTGAGGTTCACACGGCCAACTACAAAGGATGTCGTGTTTATCAATCCGTTACCAAAAAACGCACTAAAGTGCTCACAAGAGTCTTGCCAGTCTCAGATAAGCCCCCGTCCATTCACACCCGACGCAAAGGAGAACCTAGGACTTACGCAGAAGCAACTGTGGGCAATTCAAATAATCTAAACTCTGAACCTATTTCCAATATTATATCCCAATTTATTACGCAACTTAATTCCCTCTTTACTCCATTGATTTCTCTTTTATCCTCTCTATTAAACACATTACTTTCTAAGAATACCTTATCTCCTTAATTGCAGTCTTCGTGAAATCATAAATATCTAAACTGTTGTTATTAAATATTCTGTGATTATGTTATTTTAATCTTAATTGGATACGATATCATTTTCTACCGTCTATCATTATTTGTATTAATCAGATTTATTATTATCATATTTAATATTATTAATTTAATTGTATTCTTGTAATTGTCGAACTATAATAGCTGTAGCTGAAAGTTCTAAATAAAAAAAAAAAAAAATCATCTGATTTATATTTCACTGAAATTTGATAATTTAAAGATCATATTTATTTATAATCAATTATATTTTTATTTTATACATAACTTACATGTTGTGGTATAACCACT